TGCCTCCTATAGGGCTTAACTTCCCTAACGAACTTTCACACATGAGGCCCAGAATGCTATAAAATAACAACATGAGGCTTGGAGTTCTACTGGACCACCACTTGAGGGTCCGGACTTCTGCCACACCACTACCTGAGGCCACACTTCTGCCAGACCACCACTTAAGGCCTAGACATCCTCCGGACCACCACCTGAGGCCTGAACTTTAGCTGGACCACCACTTGAGGCCCAGACTTTCACCGAGTCACCACTTGAGGCCCAAAATTCTGCTAGACCATCAATTGAGGCCCAGACTTATGCGTGACCACCACTTGAGGCTCAGACTTTGACTGGTCCACCACATGAGGCCTAGACTTCAGCCATACCTCTACCTAAAGCCAGGACTTCAGTTGGACCACAACCTGAGGCCTAGACTTCGGCCGAACCACCACCTGAATCCTAGACATCCGCCGGAATACCACTTAAGGCTTGGACATCCGCCGGATCACCACCTGAGGCTTGAAATTCTACATAACCACTACCTGAGGCCCAAACTTTTGACGGACCCCCACATGAGGCTTGGACTTCTCCTGGACCACTACTTGAGGCCCAAACTTCTTACAGACCTCCATCCGAGACTCAAACTTCTATCAGACCACCACTTGAGGCCCGAACTTCTGTCGAACCACTACTTAGGGCCCCGAGATCTATCGAACCACCACATGAAGCCTGAACTTTTTCTAGACCACCATATGAGGCCCAAATTTTTACCAGACCACCATTTGTGGCCCGAACTTCTATCAGACCACCAACTGAGGCTCAGACTTCTACTAGACCACCACTTCAGCCTTGGACTTTGGTCGGACCAACACTTAAAGGATCAAACTTCTACCATACCATCACTTAAGGCATGGACTTTGACCGGACCACCACCTAAGGCCCAGACTTCTCCCAGACCACCACCTCAACTCCAGACTTCTATTGGACCACCACCTGAGGCCTAGACTTTTTCCAGGCCACCACCTAAGCCTTTAACTTTGGCTGGACTTCCACTTTGATGCCTGAAGTCTTGTCGTACCATCACCTAATGCATGAAGTTCTACCAGACCACCATTTGATGCCCGGAGCTCTATCAGACCATCAATTATAGCTTAGAGTTCCACCAGACAACCATCTAACGTCGAACTTTCTCCAAACCATCACCCGACATTTAAGTTCTACCAAACCACCACTAGGCTGCCAACTAACGCTCAACTTTCAAGTAGCACCGATCCACCAAATGACGCTGGACTTTTATCCCCATTTTTCATTAAATTTCAACCATATAGTTGACATTTGTAATATGATCACCCTCAAGGATGAGTCACCCCATTATAATCTACTTAAATTATAGTGGAATCATTTTCAACTAGGCTAGGCTCCATATAAAAAAATCTTGTGTTCTCTATGTATGAGTTGTATATACATATAATACTAAGACATAGGATTGTAAATCTATTGCCGCATATACTCTAGCCCCTAATAGAATGGTGCCTCCTATTGGAAACTCAATCCCACTATCCTAAGCACCACTTTGATGGCTAACAGGCATAGTAATCGTATCTTGGGTGCCTCTCTAACTCACACCAATTTAGGAATTAGTCTATGACTCATGGACACTAAGTATCTGCTACTTTTTATCCTTGGTGAAAAACACTACTAGAGAATGAATTTTAGGACCTTCCCTAAAAGACCACATTAGAAAGATGGAGGAATCTTAGAATGAGATCCTTCAATTCCTATGAGAGACTCAATGACCAACACTAGAATCACAAGAAGAGATTCTTCTCCGTTGAGATGCACCAAGGGTCTAAGATATTCAACCCAAATATTTTCATGTCGAGATTCCTCTTCCTCCGTCAAGTATACATCCTCCAACACATCAAGATAACGAGCTTGCTGACATAACAAGCTCTACCCATCCTTCACGTACGGGTCGCCAACCTTGCATTCCTTCAGATATCCCTGAGGACTTAGCCCGACAGGACATTATTGAACTCCCTCATAACACTCTATATCATGAATTATGAAGATTAGTCTGAGAAGAGTTTACCATGGGAGATATAAGATAACCTTGCCATTAGTGGAACTTTTAGAAGTAATCACCCCTAATCGAATCCATCCTTCTATACTCCATTTGGGTAGGATTCAAACTACCGAGTATCAATTCTTATGACGGGACATCTGACCCGTACGAGCATATCAATTATTATAGGACCATCATGCATATCCAGCGAGCCTAAGATGCGATCCTATGCCAAGTTTTCTCTACTACCTTGAAGGGACAAGTATGAATGTGATTCTATTCACTTCCAGTAGGAACAATCTCCACTTTTATCAAATTAGCCAAAGTGTTCATTGAATAATTTGTCACCAATCAGAGAATTGCTAATGATTCTTCCCATCTTTTTGGGATTCACTAGAATAAAGGACAAACAGTAAATGAGTATTTTCAGCAATTTTCCACAGAAGCTCGATAAATTCCAAGAATAGATCATGAATTGTTAAGAGGAGTTTTCCTTGGAGGCATTCATCCTTGTCCCTTTTACTCGGCACTTATGCGAGACATGATTCTCTCATATGCTGACCTAATCCATCATTTGGAGGCATAAATATCAACAAATGAAGTTATTAATTCCCATAGGAAGCAATTTGAGAAAACTCCTAAAAAATATAAAAATGCCCCTATAATAGAGGACTTATTCTCACAATGAAAGAAAAAAAACTACCTTCTAGACCCCTAGTACTATGATGTGAGTTTCAAAAATAATATGAGTATACACCACTTAATTCCCCTTAAACAAATGTGTTGATGACCATTCAATATCAAGAAAATATTAAGTGGCCTAATCCTTTGAAGTTGAATACAAGAAATCAGGATCAATACTATCATTTCCATCATAGTCGTGGGCACACTACTGAAGCATATAAGCTGCTTAAAAATAAAATTGAGAGATTTATCTGAGAAGGCTACCTTCGACAGCTCATTCAAAATTCATATGCTCTAGATGAGGCTCAGTTTAGAGGGGGGTAAAATCAACAACATGAAAGGCAAACATTGAATAATATTTTAATTATTGGTGAGATTAAATAAAATTGCAATTTGGGCATTTATGTTAGTACTATTACTTATCCAGTGTCATCATAAGTAGGGTGTCACTCTAATGTCCTTATTATTTTCTTCCACTTTAAATGACATATTATTCCTATATGTATCTCTTATGTGTTGAGCATGGAGTAACTCTTATATCCTAAGTCATTTTAGAGACATTTTGTATTGTCTTATATAATATAGTAATGTGTTATTCACTCCATTCTGATATTATCCCATTCTTTAAAAAAAGATAAAAAATGATAATACAAAATCACTTATGAGTATAATCTCTTTATACATGAATTGAGAAATATGTAATTTTTATTGTGTCTCAATCACTAGATAATCAATTCCAAGGGGATTCGATCTGACCTCTTCCATATCAGTTAATGTAATCGAGAAGAGCCCAGACATATAATCTCGGATAGATCAAACATCCTAGAAGGATGTCAATCAAATTTAGATCCTTGATTCAAAAAATATGTAATCTTTATTGTGTTTCAATCACTGGATAATCAATCTTAGGGAGATTCGATCTGACCTCTGCCATATAAGTTAATGTTATTGAGCAGGACTTTAACATATAACCTCAAATAGGTCGAACATCCTAAGATGATGTCAATTAAATTTGAAATCTTTGATTTAAGAAATACACAATCTTTATTATTTCTCAATCATTGAATGATCAATCCTAGGGGATTCGATCCGACCTCTTCCATATAGGTTTATATCATCAAGCAGAGCTCTAACATATAACCTCAGATAGGTCAAACTTCTTAAGAGAATATTAATCAAATCTTAAATCCTCAATTCAAGAAATATGCAATCTTTATTATGTCTCCATCACTAGATGATCGATCTCAGGGGCATTCGATCAAATCTCTTTCATACATATTAAAGTCATCAAGCAACACTCTAATATATAACCTCAGATAGGTCATACATGAAAGTTCATGAGGGATGTTAAACCCTAATGAACTAGTCTAAGGCTAACTAAGAAGGGGGGGGGGGGGAATTGGTAGTTTTGTAAAAAAACTTAAACAAGAAGAAGAACTTTTTGATCTTTTTAAATATTTTAAAAATAACCCTTGATGTAGAAGAAAAATAATTTTCATGATAATTATACAATTAGATTTTTCAATCACAATATAAATCATAAAAGAGAACATAAGTAAAATGCTATAAAAGTAATAAGAAAAACACACCAAATTTTATAGTGGTTTAATAAAATCTTAACTGCGTATACTCCTTGGACACTCTTTCTTTAAGTATTGCACTAAACTAAATTGACTCTTCTTTTACTCCCATAGCAAGATGGAGAAGCGCATACAAAATCTTTCCACCAATACGGAGAGGTAGAAAACCTTGAATCTTTTTACTCCCTCTTGGAGTAGGTAGGGAACCTGAAAATCTTTTTTACCCACTTGGTGAAAGTAGAGAAGCCATGAATCATTTTACTCCCTTCTAGAGTAGGTAGAGAATATGGATCTAATGCTGAAGATGATCTCCCTACAACCACCAAGGAAACAACGGAGCAACTCGAAGAAGATGATGAATACCTTGCTTGGAGCAACCTTTGTTATTCGCTCACAAAATCCCCTTATATAGATCTCTCTCTCAAGCTCTCCCTCTTCCTTCTCTAAGCTCTCTCTTGGATCAACTCCATAGCAAATTATTAACTCAAGGGTTAATATAA